TGAATATTTGTATTGGAAGTGTCTACTGAAGTACGTGGTATAATTGTAGTGAGTGGTATGATGAAAGCTTGTTCAGAAAGCAATAAGTCTAAACGTTTATATAAACATTCTCATTCCTTACAAACTAGGATGTCTATGAATGTTCAAGGGAAACGGATTTTGTATGTTTCACGGCTGACGGTGAAGTCGATTATATGGGATTAGTGATACTGTCATCATTTGAGTGTTACTTAACTGCACATTGTATCCGAAACTTCGTTTATCCGATGCAACATACATGTTGACTTACACATTTCACTAGTCATCATCATATCGACACGTATCAATTCAGGAGATTCTCCATATTTGGTTGTGAATTATTCCATGAACTATTTCATCTCGCATAACGAATTCAATAAAATGAGTATTCAATAACTGATCTCAAGGATAGAACTTGTATATATCATCAATCAAAAGTGAAATTCCTGGTGATAAAATGTCAATAAGATCGATGAGAATAAAATGAGAACAGAGAGTGATTGGTGGGGAAACGAATGAACAATCAAGACTGAGACAAATGACTGACATATTGCAAATGTAATATTTAGTGTATGTTACCCATTTTTTACCTGGACATACTGTGGTTTTGTATTGAAATACATTATGTTGTCTACACTTGTGTTCTCTTTGACGATGAAAGTGATATGGAATGAGGAATAACTGTTAGAGTTAGTTTAGATACGCTTGATATCTCTAAGTCAAAATGCAAAACAGAGTGTTTGCGTATGGAAAGTTTGTATGTATGTTTATATACGTAAATGTACATTATAAGCTTACAAATTAATACCAATCAGTTGTTCAATCAGCAGTGTTACTCTTTTCTTACTGGATAAATAACGTACCTATAACATCTTGTCTTTTTTCGAAACTGAACATTTTTCGTTGTGAAAGAGTGGTGAAATTCTGTATATGTCTTATCTCGCATCTTTTCTGCTTATCTAAAGCCTCTTATCGAGATTTGTCAGCGTTCTGCTGTCAAATACTTTATTGAAATTCAAAAAGATTGTTTATGTCATTGTTAGGGGAAGTGGTGAACGTTTTCATCAGTTTTGACACAAAAAGTGTCAAATGATTGTAGACGAACGAAACAATCCGACATTTGACAACATAACTATCACGAGTGATAAAGAAATGGTTTCACTGACCTCATATAATCGTCACGTGTATCTAAATTTTTTTTATTAACTATGTTCCATTTACTACCGATAAGTTTGTGTAATCTTCTTATGTTCTTTAAATCCATTGTATTTGTCTTATCTTGCATCTTTTCTGGTTATTGGTAATGTGTTATCAAGATCTTAGAGCTTCTTGATGTCAATTGCTTTATTTATTTATTTATTATTATTTATTTATTATTATCAGCTTTATTCAATATTATATTTTTGATACAATATGGCATTCTCAGCACAAATTACTTCAACAAGTTTCCGTTTCTTATTTCTTCGTCCTTCCCGACGATAAATATTGAATGATCGCCGTTTGGAAGTTAGCAGCCCAGTCAATCGACATCTGGATAATGTACATTCTTCTCGCTGCATATTGCCAGCAAACACGATATCTCTAATTAAGTCTTCTATAACCTTTACAGCGAAAAGTCTTACACTTTTCAGAAACGCGCCTGAATAGGTTGTGCGAATAATAGGCATAATGATGTATTAAAACAAACAAAATTAGATAACTTGTTGAAATATCTAGATGACAGGAACAGGTAGCCCAGATGTTTAAACAGGCCGCCAAAAAAGAAATTCAAAAAGATTGTCTTTGCCACAGTCAGAGGAAGGCATTTCTTCTCCGAACTACGGACGCGTTGGGAGCCAAATGCAGTTCACGAGTTGAGATTTGTGATTATTTATGTTCATTGACCAGTGGTAAGTAACGATAACACGTTTGAAGTTAAAAAATATTAAACGTGTGCATCTGTTACGACACGAATACTGTCAATTTGTGTTGTTTGTAAATAAAAACGTTCTTTTAATTGGGGTTGAAATGATTTGAAGTAAATTTTCAAGTCGGATTATAAAATTTCGTTTAAGTAAAATCCGAATCAGAGAATGATATTTTCAAACAAAGAGACTCCATCGAAAGTCTGACAAATAAATAAAATATAATCCTATGATTACTGTGATGCATAAATTCTGAAATAAACATTTGTAACTTAGTTTTCCTTGTTAAATTTATAAGAATATAATTATTGAATCTGTGAACAACCAAGTGTTTTTCTCAGAAGTATTTTTCTCAATGTAGATGGAACGAAGTGGTCATCAGGTTAAGCATTTGTGCTGGATTAAATCTCGCGATCGAGATCGTGCATACGCATTTTTGAGTACTTCCATGCCAGAACGAAATGACAGTATAGTGCTTTCAGGTTTACCAAGATGGTCTAGCTTTATTTGACTCACGAATACAATCATTTAAAATTACTACCTTCTCCACAAAACCCTTGATCACTAATAAAAATATTTGACATAATTTGGTTAAAGTTATGTTAGTGTATTGTGGTGTGGTCTACTTATATCCTTATAAGTAGTATATGGTGTGGGTCAGACATAGAATGTATTTTGGCAGAAGACCGATGAGCAAAGAACTGAAATGAAGCGTAATCGTTTGGAAAATGCATGAGCAACGGAATTGGAGAAGGAACAATGAAGATTGAAACAATTGATTGATATTTTGCGAATTGACTGTTCATTGTTTGGTTATCAGAATTTACCGAAATAGTCTGTAATTTTTGCTTAAATACATTCGATTGTCCCCAACAAGTGTTTTGTTCACTACATTTGGTGTCGCTGCCAATCGGGAGGAGGAAGGGTGCTGTTCTGCGGACGCCGCCGTAGGTCTGGAGTTGAGGTGCTAGTTGGGGTAGTCTGGTGCGGAGAGGTGTCGTCAAGAGGAGTGTTCTGGCGGGGCGGCGTTGGCTGTAGAGGCTGCTGTCGACGGAGAGGAGCAGTAGGACGTGCGGCTGCTGGGCGGACATCGGATGTAGATGGCTCAGCAGGCCGGTGGAGTACGGGTGTTGAACGTCCTAGGTGCCGGGTGGATGCGGATGTTGGTGCCCCGGCAGGTCGACGGAGCTATGGAGGTCAGCGCGCCGCAGACTCGACATCCTGACGGAAAGTTTGGCACAGACTGCATTGAAAGAAGATAGTGGCGTGGCGAGCAGAACCACCGCATGAACGCATGCTTTAAAGGGGGGACGAGTGTGGTGTGGTCTATTTATATCCATATAAGTAGTATATGGTGTGGGTCAGACAAAGAATGTATTTTGGCAGAAGACCGATGAGCAAAGAACTGAATTAAAGCGTAATCGTTTGGAAAATGCATGAGCAACGGAATTGGAGGAGGAACAATGAAGATTGAAACAATTGATTGTTATTTAGCAAATTGACTGTTCATTGTTTGGTTATCAGAATTCATTGAGATAGTCTGTAATCTTTGCTTGAATTCATTCGATTGTCCCCAACTAGTGCTCTGTTCACTACAGTATAAGCCAAGGAATTCCAGAAAGACGAATATTCATTTCATCCAAATCTTTCCTCTACGATTTAAGTGTGGTAAGTGCTACTTACATCGATGCTAGACAGGAGTGGAATGTCTGTCTGCAGAAGGTAAGTACGATCAAGCGGTAGTGATCGGAAACAAAAAGCGATTGGTATTGAATTGCAGGAACCCGGACGTCTGAGACACTGGAAGTGTATAGGACACACGCTGAGGAAGTCACCCAACTGCGTCACAAGGCAAGCCCACATATGGAATCCTGAAGGCCGACGAAAAAGTGGGAAACCAAAGAACACGTAACGACGAGAAACGGGGGCAGACATGAGAAGGACTAATAGAAGTTGTATAGAACTAGAAAGGAATGCACAGGACAGAGTGGGTTGGAGAATACTTGTCGTCGGCCTACGCTGCATTGGGAGTAACATGCATAAGTATATATTAATATCTTTGCGCATTGATGAATTTGTACCAGCATGGTTGAGAAAACGTGCTACTAAATCAATCAGCAGTACTTATATTTCACATTTGTCAGAATGTGTACATCATATCGAAATAGAGGAAGCCTACTCTATCTTATATCAAGGTACACAAATCCTACCTCACGGAGCTAGATTACGCCTACTCTACACAGTCGTGGATATCTGTATCCACTGCAGAGAACCGTATCCAGAACAGTTGTATTCAGTCTTGACCTAAGACTGAATAAGTAGATACTCAAACTGAATATCATGAAATTCTCACCCCCTTCCCATTTCTGTTTTTGATTACATCTGTCCTAAACTTTACATCCACCGTTCACACTTCATGTGACCGCATTCTTATCGTAAGTACCTTGATCACACCCATTTCATCATACATTACATCCGCACAAATATCTTATTATTGATACTAAAATCAAAACTATCACAATTAACATGATGAAATTCTCTTACCGATCATTTTACTTCCATGATTCTTTATTTTGGTAGATCACTGATACATTGTGTTGGATCCGACACTTTGCTTCATATCATTCTGACCCTTATCAAATAAACTGTCTTACATACAAACAACACAATTTGGCAGTAATCGTGTCGTAACGGATGTACACCTTCGACATTTCTAACATGTGACATTGCCAAATTCATTATTGCATGTCTTATTTTGACTTTAGTAAGATATAACATAAATGGTGCAATTTTATTGAATGTAGAGCATGAGGATGAAGTTATTGAAAGCATTGGTTTGCTCAAATAGTTTTCATTTTTGAATTGTTAATAAGTGAAAATGAAAACACATGACCAAAACTGAGTGATTCAGCTCATTTTTTAATAGTAGAATTGAAGTATTTCGGTCAACCAATTGACATAATGATCATGACGCATTATGATGAAATGAAAATAGTTTCATGATGTTAGATGGAACTAGTCAACTAATGAATCCAGTTCTTTTGACAAACTAACAAATCGTGTGATGTTGCTAGTTAAATGGATTACTTCATTGTACGTGATGATTTAGTTATATATATATATATAGGAGTGTATTCGCAACTTAACTCATTGTGTCTTCCAAGTAGAATGTAAGTGTTTTTACATAATAAATTTATAATATGTAAATGAAGATTCTGAGGGAACTGATTGACTTTTATATTGTATTTGAATATACATTTTTGTATTGGAAGTGTCTACTGAAGAATGTGGTACAATTGTAGTGAGTGGAATAATGAAAGCTTGTCCAGATAGCAATTAGTCTACACGTGTATATGATCATTTAATTTCTTTACAAACTGAGATGCACATGTATGTTCAAAGAATAGGATTTTATGTGTTTCATGGCCGATGGTGTAGTAGATTGTGTTGGAATAGTAATGCTGTCATTATTGGAGAATTATTTAATTGCACATTGTATTTGAAACATATTTATTTATATGCAACATACTTGTTGATGTATGTCATTTACTGCTGATCATCATATCGACAAGTATCAATCGAGCAGATTGATTGGATTCGAATGTGAATTATTTCGTGAAGAACGAATTCAATGAACAAACGAATTCCCGAAAATGAGAGTCCAATAACTGATTCGAACTTACTATAAACTTTCAGATTCCTTTGTTGACAGTGAATCAAAATTTTGTTTGTTTATTCTAACTAGTCTCTCATTCACTAGTTTCACTTTGGGCTTTACACTGACAATGATAAACCAGAAATATACTGCTGAGGTTATCGAAGAAATATCAATCAATGTGTCCTTTATCACCTTATTAGTTTTGTTTTTACCTCAATCACAAAATTCCACTTGGTTCTAATTATGCTACGGATTGTAAGATGTAACTGATTGAGATTTTTTTTGAATTCTCAGAGTACTTTGTTGACTCGTTACAACTGTTCACACAACAAATGATACATGTTTACTTCGCTGTTTATTCATCTATGCATGTATATAACGAATGACTTACATAAAAAGTGTGAGATTAATATACACACCATTTGTTGTGTGAGAAAACTTGTCTGCATTCATTTTATTTGTTTATACATTTCAATTGACTAATTATTTCTTACTTGACAGTATTTTGGTCTTTATTGTTCATTCATAGGTGTGCCATTTTAACAATAATTTTGCAAGCGATTATTTTCACTGCTTCATGTGTGTTGTGTTTAAATAATGGATTGACTAGAACACCACCAATGGGATGGAAGTTTTGTCCACAATTCCGATGTCCAGTAAACTGCCAAAAATATCCAAAAGGCTGTCTTAGTGAGAATGAAATCAAACGAACAGCTGATAAACTGGTTTCGGATGGTTGGAGAGATCTGGGTTATAAATATATGGTAATTGATGATTTTTGGTTGGCAAACAAACGTGATTTGGAAATGAATAATATGTCGGCATATTCTACACGATTTCCTAATGTGAGTTGATCCGCTTAATTTGGTATAAAATGTCCACAATTTATGTATACTTTTTGAGCAATATAAAACTATACCGATCAGAAATAAATCAATGTCATCAGACTGCTGAGATAACTGTAGTCGTCGTTCACAGAATCATTCTCCTTTGTGATTAACGGCATCAGTGTATTGATCATGAATTACATATCATGACTTCCTTTGTACGAATCAATCTGTTGAACTACGGATTATTCTTGATTTGCTTTCATCTCTGTAAACTACCATTGTGTGTTGCCTTTCTAATTAGTTAACCTTAAAAAACATCTTTAATTTGACAGGGTATTGAAAGCGTTGGAAAATATCTGCACTCCAAAAATCTTCTATTTGGTATAAATCTTGGTAAAGGGGACACGAAATGTTCTGGTTATCCAGAAATTATCAATCAATTGGAATTGGATGCAAAAGCAGTGGCCGACTGGGGAGTAGATTTTGTGAAGTTGCATGCATGCCACTGTACTGAGAATTACTTTGAAAAATATATCAAATTACGTGAAGGAACTGGCAGGCCCGTGATGCTTTTGTGTACTTATCCAGAATATAAGTATTGGATTACAAATCCCAATTTATTTGACTGGAAAAGATTACAAAACACGTGTAATTTGTGGCGAGCTTCGTACAACGGGCGAAACGACTCGCGATATATAATCCACTATATAATTCCGCGGAAAATTCATGACAACGATTCACCGAATTTGGCGGGTTCAGGGCGCTGGAACGATCCTGGTTTGTTGGATTTAGGAAACAACGGACTTACGAATGATCAAAATCGAGTTCATGTGGGCGTGTGGTGTATGTTCGCCGCTCCACTGCTGATATCAACTGATATGGAGAAGGTGGATAAATTCAGTGCATCCTTGTTACGTAACAAACATTTGTTGGCGATAAATCAGGATAAGGGTGAACATCGGGCGAAATTCGTCAAATCACGAAATGATGTACAGGTAAGTTAACGGCATTACATTGAAATTCCAATACATAAGTGTTCAAGTACTTTCGCCTACACTATAAAATCTTTTACAGAGTGTTTCAATGAGAAAATTCATCTTTCATTGATTCATCAGATATTTCATTTCATAATAAGTCTCACTATGTTGGTATAGTGATATTACAGTATAATGAAGCTCTTTTATTTTAAATATTACAATAAAAATGATGAACATGAGCATTAGTAACGTAATATTTGATCTCAGTGACATAGATTAGAAAGTGTGCATTCTAAATTATAAGACTATTTTGATCACCAATTCGATAATATACACAATCACTTCTGTTGCTGTCACTTGTACCTACTAAGTTCTGACGAAAGTGTACACTGATTATTATTTCGATTTAGAAACAGTTATCACCAGAATGCAAGTAAACGGTCAGCATTTAATAACACCAATCAAACGTACTTAACGAAATTAATTTTGAATATTATGTGTTTGCAGATAAATCGTAATAGGTACAGAGAATGTGTATCATGCTATACGGCACCTATCTCACCGTTCTTTCTCAATTGAATGAGTACTTATTGTAAGTTCTCTATTCATTTTTCAAGGTGTACGACAGCAAACATTCAATTATGCAGTTATTTCTCTTCACCACTTTTTCTTCAGCAAAGTTACAAGATGTCGTTAACATTATTTTCATTTACCAGTATACTGAATAATAACAAACCTTTCACATCTGCTCATATATATCTGTTCACACAGCTGTGGATACGAAAATTAAGTGATCATCCAAGTGGTTGGGTAATAGCTTACGTCAATACACGGGATGATGGACGATCAATGAAGTTTGTCACGAGTCTTGATGAATTCAAATCACAGATGTATACGATATCAGGAGATAAGTTCCATTTACTAGATGTATTCACTGGTGAAAGATTCAAAGACGTGAGGTTGAGAGAGAATTTTACAATTTCTATCAACCCATCTGGAATAATGATGTTTCGAATCATTCCATTTCAATTGATTCGCAGTTCTAAGTAAACTGATGGATGGTTGTCAGTAACTAATCAGTAACTATATCAATCTCATCATGCATGTAAACTGGTGTGAATCCTGTTAATATTATTTGCAGAATATATTATTATTATTATTATGCGCTAATGTAGGGAAGACTTATCACAATAGTGTTATTGTTTTCAATTTATGCTTGTTCTCCGTTTTATAACACGCAGACAAGAACTGTTCGTAACTTGCCAACTTTCGTGTTTCCTTTAAACTACAGACTATTATATAAACACGTTTCTATTTCTCTACTCTTAAATCAAGAGTTGGCGAGTACCACTTCAGACGTTCATTGAAATATGGGTTATTTTATGTCTTTTAGATAGAAGGAAATTACCGATCAGATCAGACGTGTGTCTGCATGATTGTGTTTGCCAGCGGTCTGCTCAGTGACCTTTCATCACATCTGTCGGGTAGCATAATTTCTCTTGAGATTACAAAAAACCTTGCTGACGACTGCCAAATAACACCAATCCGAGGTCTAGACTCTCCTGTCGACTACCTCCAACCACCACCTCATCTCAACATAGTGCACGCAATGTCGAGTCACCCAGACTGATGATCACTTTGTAACATGTTCTACCTCCGACAATATTTGTGATATAAAGCAACTGTGAATTCGTCGGCTTATAGGAAGCAGAAAGGTTTCAAATAAAATCAAAATAACTTTATCAGTTATACAATGCAAGTCGATCTATACCACGATCAAGTTTGAGGTATTTTCAGAGCGAACGAAAAAAGATTCTCATAGATCTACCTTTGCATATACTGACGAACATGGAGTAACTGATTACTATTAGGATGCATATTGGATAGTTTCAAAATGCCTTACTCCCGTCCTTCTGGTCACGTTAACTTAAGCCAGTTAACGATGTGGGTAAGTTGTTCTCAAGGCTGAAGTCTTGGCAGGATTACCCATCACACCCGTGTTAGTCAACACAGATACTTAAGAACTTTATTCACTGTAAATTTTTACTAATATCATTTTAATAAGGAAATACTTTATTCATGGAATACTGATTATCTCTCTTCATTAATTTGCTGGCACAATCACTTCTAACATTATTCTGTTAATCGAAATTGACAACGACATTGTAAGGGCGGTATTCTATATGGCCAGTAGAATGGTGGCGATGAAGATTTTTGTACATCACCATATCGAGAACATCTTTAAATGTGCGATGAGATTTTGTTGCTTCAAAGAACCCTAATAAGCTCAATATTTAAAAACAGATGCCTAGAAATATCCATAGAAATGTTTTGAATATCACAATACAATGGTTTAGTGAAAAGCATCCCACGATGTGTGGATCGTATGTAAGTTCAGGAGAGCTAGGCAGTATGGGATAGTACAACCGAACAGTCCATTTATCATTTTATCGGACAATCATTACTGTATAATCCGCTTGTTGATGAACATTTTAAGAAATAAGGCTTAACATGAGATGAAGGCGTTAGCCCATGGGAGCTTTATCGCTAGATTAGAAATTCAACTTTAAAATCAATGATCCCCATTTTTGACTACGTACAAAATTTTGTCGGGAATCACTGAACGTTATTTGTACTCACTGAATTCAGCTGACGTTTATTTGGCAGGAACATAGATGTCAGTGTTTTATCCCTCTTCGTGAGAGTACTTGATGAGTATCCAACATATCTACAACCAGTGCTGAGTGATGAAATATTTTGTTGTTCAAACATATTGATCTTCTATCAGAACACTTGGTTTCATATGATATATAAAGGCAATGGAATTCCACATGCTGTCTAGTAATGACGAGAACTAACTCACTAGTACTCTGGTAGCAACAGGTCATCAAGCATTTCACCAGAGTCATCGTTAGTGGTCACTAAAGTAGATTCTATTTTAAGAATTCCTTAAATTTCTGGCTACAACATAGATGGTCCAGATTTGGTGATAAGGAATTAATAAGTTGTAACTTACGACTTCTCAACACGCTATTCGAGTCCGACGTGAATTTCCTAATCTCTTACGGACAACTAGGAGTATCCAGATTCACTGCCAGAGTAAATTATTTAAACACTTCCAAACAAACGAACTGCGTCTTTACTTGCTGAAAGACAGCCTCAATAACGAATATGCAGACCATAATCATAACAATGTTGATCTAAGTATCAGGATCATCTACGCTAGTCCAAAACTGAACATTCGTTACTCATATCAAGACATAAAATAACATTTACTTCGTTTGAAACGCCTTTTTAAAAAGGCGGCTGCCATATTGCTTCCTTGGTTTAAATTTGTTGCCAATTCAAATAATAGGAAAAATACCCGTCAAATGGTAATATTGTCGGCATGGATAGTTGATGATGTTTTGTTAGTGAAAACAGTAAGCCATTTATCTTTCTCAGTGAACTATTTGATCTTCCACAGCGAATATTTCATTGTACGTTCTTCGATATTTGCCTCCGAGTGATTATATTTTTCGATCCTTGACTAACAGCATAAAGTCAACTGATTTTTGGAGATACGTTTGTTCAATATAGTAGGATATCCTGTTTTCAAGCCTAGATTGTGTGATCTTTCAACGAGGACATAAAATGAGATTTAAGTGCCGGAAACTGCATTATATATGCACTTGCAAGTCAAACGTTTTTCAATACAGTCAACGGCGTACGATTCACTAACCACGAAACTTGTAATTCAACTTTTTTTAGCTGATAAAATTTGTGCCTAATAAGAAATTAAGGAATCGTACCCCTAGTACCATACTACCCAAGTGAAGTATTGTTCGAGGAAATGTATGTGATTTTGTGTGAAAAATCCTCCTTATGCACAAACTCATTATTAATTCTTCTTGATTCTTTCTTATGAACATTTAGCTGATCGTTCGATTCCATTCGATATATCTATAATGATATTTCACTGTCATTTTTGTTCCTCTTAGGTTTTTTATTGAATTTATATGATTTTGTTTTCTGAACATCATCTACATTACTTTGATTGATATTTGTTTATGGCAACTGTAATAATGATTTTTGCCTCTTTTTGGTTGTATTACTTCAATTAACGGGAATTGTATGTTTTACATTGTGATTTGAATCACTTTTACACAATGAAAAACGTTCAGTGTTAAAAGGAACTACATGTTATCTGTGCATGATTTATCCAGTAAGTATAGAGTAACGCTATTGATTGAATAACTGGTTGACATTAATTGTTTACATTAAGGTATATAAGAGTATAAGAAAACTCTTCTCACACAGCTACTCTGTTTTGTATTTTGACTTAACATTATCAAGCATGTCCCAAGTAACCCCAACAGTTATTCCTCATTTCAAACTACTTTAATTTGTTGGTCATGTAGTTTACAAGAACATCAGTGAGGACAATCAAATATATTTCAATACAAAAACAGCAGAACATCTTGATAAATTAACTTCTCTTTTACTTGAGTGTTATATTAACATTCATACTACTAGGTAACTAATAAACTATCGTGTTATGTGAAGTTGTAATTGAATGAACTGACTGAAAGTGTATGTAGAGGTTGCGGTAATTCACACCATAAACATTTGTGAGAATAATGAAAATTGGCGAAATAATAATGAAAACATTTAAATTCCCACACCACATTGGCGTATATGTTTGTTTAATTTCATTCAAACTCTACTGACTGTCAATAAAATAGCTGTTTATCTTTTAATCGCTTGATATACGACGAACCCGATTGGTTTCAGACTCAACGTAGATTGCTAAATTTCAGCACATTCAAGCAATAAAATATACAGCTACACCAAGAAAATTGCTGAACAGCGCGCAGATTGAGGCAAGCCGACGAGCAGTGCGTACAAAGATGGCTGAAATGATGATTCTCTATTCATTCTGACTGGTCTCTAGGCAGACTGCTAAAATTACTAAACTGTGTTGAGTTTGATTGCACGTGTTGTTTGGTTATTTAATGCTTGCAGTCTTAATGGCATCTCTCAACGAAATTATGTCAAAAGCATAAGCAAAATATTTTCATCGTAACTCAAACATTACATTCGAGAACTGTCGACTAGTCTTGTGAAACTTCATTTAACAGTATTAAAGTGACATGTTCACCGATATGCATTTATTGATAACATGAAACCAGTTTATGTGGAAAATAGAACGACAAAGTCTGATATTATTACATGTTCATAAATACAGTATTCACAAGTAAACAGACAAAGCATAATTTAACAGCAATGATTGTAAACAATTTCAGTGATATGGACAAACACAAGCCAGCTGCTACTTTAAAAAAGAGAAAAAGGTTTATTATTAGTTTGATGGATTCAAATGGTTGGCTCATTGGTACTTTTTGGTAATTTTAGTAACAGTTATTCGTATAATAAATATCCATGTGTCAAAATGAAGGTGTTAATAGGATAAATATAGAAATAGACAATATAATTACTCAACAGTTAAACAAAGTGAATATATATAGAATAACAGTCCATTGATAGGTCTCAGAAGCAACCCGAAATTGTGTCTTCATTAGATTATAACATTTCTCATTTCAAAATGGATATTACGAACTTTTGTTGATTTCTTTCAACACAATGTACTCAAAGAAACAAAAGCTCTAACATAATCTCAATTATACATTTTTACACGATCATTCATGTCGTTCTTCGATTTCTTCATATCACTAGTGAATACAGTTGCTCAACTGCATCTCTTATCTAGGCAATTAACATGATTTGTCTCATTATTTTCCCTTCACTCTTGACAGGACATCAGAATCAGTTGTCGTTATTCAGATGTTTGATTCCAGTCAAACATCAGTCAAAATTCAAAACTCAATATATGCACAGAGTACCCTAATAAGTAGATTGCAACCACAAATCACCACAAAATCACACTCTGTTTAGTTCCATTGTGATTTTTTCGGTTTCCGAAGGTGCAGGTGTAAACTCACCAATTGTAGCATACTTTTGACCTATCTCTACTCAACTAGCAATATTTCATTTAACGATGGTAAAACATA